GGAGAGAGTCTCCGGGCTTCTTCAGATCCCCTCCCGACTCCACCAGCTGCACCTGGGTCCGGACACCTGGGAATAAGGACATGTGACAAATATTGGTTTAAAACCAACAATAATATAATATTATTTTAGCTCTGCCAGCGATTCAATGGAAAGAATACCTTCCAGAGCCGCCAGAGTGAACATTAAAAGGAGCCAAAATCTCATTTTCGCTGGTGCTGGAGGGGAAAGTTCTCAGAGCGAATGTCTGGTAACCGCACAGACACAGGGGACTAGGGACTCTGTTCCCAGGTGGAGCCGGGCAGAGAGAGACACAGATTTTAACAGGAAACTGGCACCGTAATTTACATATTTCCCTCTTTATAAGCGGTACGAACATCTGTCACTGATCAGCAGAATTACGGTAACTAAGGCTCAGAGGGGACTTTCTGTGTTTGTGCAGCGCCCAACAAAGTGTGCTGGGGTCCGGAATATACTTTCGCCGAAGAGAGAAATCACCACTTGCCTTCACTCAAATCTCTAGACATGGCTCTAGGGCTAGACCCAAACTTTATTGCGATCAACACAGATGCTCTTCTTAGGTTTAGACGTCGTTGGATCAAACCCCGAAGGAGAACTCTTTTGTTTTGGCTTGAGACCAGGGAACTGTCTTGGTCAGGGAGGTGTGAAAGCTAAAGGTCTCCTTGAAGATTGTTTTGGAAGTACAGAGCTTTTTTAAAAAAAAGCCTAAAGGTGTTTAGGACCCTGTCTTCCCACCAATTTCAACGTGATTTGAGCACCTAACACCCCTAGTGCCCTTTAGAATTCCAGCCATAGTCACTTCCCTTTGTTCAATCTCCTCCTACATAGTGGATTTTCACTGTGGGTATCAGATAAATTCCAGCTTCAAACGACTAACTCTTCTTCCGTGCTGGTATTCCCAAAGGAAACTAAGCGAGTTAGGAGCCCAAATCCTATTGATTTCACAGAGCTTTTGGGTGCCTATCTCCCATAGACCCACTTCTGTGGCCTTTGTTATGCAGGAGGTTAGACTAGAGGATCACAAGGTTTCCTTCTGGCTTTGGAATCTATTAAAATCTCTTTATAAATAATGCAACTGTTCTTTAAGAACATAGGAACGGCCATACAGGGTCAGACCAAAGGTCCATCTAGTCCAGTATCCTGTCTTCCGACAGTGGCCAATGCCAGGTGCCCCAGAGGCAATGAACAGAACAGGGAATCATCACGTGATCCATGCCCTGTTTCCCAATTCCTGAGGTCATGGGAGAGGGAATTGTGTAGGGAGTTAAAGTACAATGTATATGTTTAACTGTCCCCCCCCCCCCCCCCCCGCGGTAGTTGCAATGGAGACAGTCATTGTGCTCCCAGGACCGGGGTCTCTGGCACAATAATGCAAGGATGAGTTGTTGGCTCTCGGGCCGTTCCTATGTAAACAGAAATTGAAGCTGTCCTGGGAAGCTGTGAATCCTCCCCTCTATGGCAGAAGCACGTGGTAGTTTCCTGAAATTCTCTGTTTAATGTTGACAAGTCAACCAGATCGGGGCATTCGTCTTCATACTCTTTGTCAGCAGGGTCTTCTCCTTGACCTATGCGATCTTCAGTTTTGGTGGTATTTTCAGTTCTCTTTTCATCCTCAGAAAAATCATTTGCAGAACTCTCTGCACTATTTCTGCGAGCCGCCCTGGCACTCCAGCCCCTTCCCAGCCCCGCTTAATGCGAAAGCCTCTCTCAGTACACACCGGGTGTCGGGCGCTCTGGGCTCTGTGACCAGTGGACCAGACTGGGTCAGAACCTCCAGGGCAGAGGGGAAAACTTTTCACTGTTGTCCCAGTTTCCACCGTGGTGAATAGCGGCATGAAAACTCCGTGTGAGACCTTCCCTTTGTTCTCAGTGTAACGGCTGCCCCCTTCCCATTACGAGAGTGAGTGAGTGTCCACAAAAACAACCAGGAGTCTAGTGGCACCTTAAAGACTAACTGCCATTCACTGACTTGCGGAGGAGGGGGCTGGTTTTTGTATGAAGCATGGCAGGTTTCCCCTTGCTGTGTCTCTCGCACAGTGATAGCCCGCGGTGTCCTCGGCTTTCAGGCTGGTCATTTGCGAATAGAAATTGGAGCTGTCCTTGAGCCTGTGGATCGCCCCTGGATTGCCGGAGAGTAGCTGCTGTCGGACGGAGAATAATAGTAAATCAGCCACTCCAGCCCCTTCCCAGGAGCCTGCCGGATCCAGAACGTGTTACAGCCCATACCGTTAAACCCGCTGACTGCACATTTCACCGCCTGGGACTCTCCGGGCTTCTTCACCGCTGTCCCCGACTTGGTACCTCCTGCTTTAACTGACCGTCCCAAATTACAGACTGGGGTTCCCTTAGGCTTTCTGAAGATCCCAGGTTTGTGCCCTGTTACGGATAATCAATAGCTGCCAACTGCTTAAATAACCAATTGCTAATCACTTTCCCTTTTTGATTCCTCACTGATTGTTGACGGGGACAATATAAATTCCTAAATGTGTAGCTAGAACCGCCTCCTAAATATTGTTGGCATTTTCAAAGGAACTTTTCTAGGTGTTGCGCCTACATCTTAAGGTATAAATAGCGCCCCTGTGTTAAATAATGGACTTTCTTTTTCTATTTGAATCCTCAGCTTCTGTGTATAGGGATAAGGTTATTGAAATCAGTGGATCTTCCACAATGTGAAACAGCTGTCGACCAGTCTCTGTGATGTATGTTTTATTTAGGGTCTTATTAAAATCCCAGTGAAACCAGATAAAAGTTCCCCCTTAACGTTCACTGACTGGCTAAATGGAAAGGAACTCTGAACAGGCAAGGAGATGAGTATTTGCAGTCTCCCTTTTACAAACCTCTCTTGCTGTGTGTGTGTGTGTGTGTGAGAGAGAGAGAGAGAGAGAAAGAGAGAGAGAGAAAGAGAGAGAGAGAGAGAGAGAGAGTATGGACACACCAGCTTCTGTGCAGCACAGCTGAAATATTTCTGGGTTTTACCTGCTTGTTCCCTTCCTGGGCCAGGGAACAAACTCCCTGGTTTTGCTCTGTCCCTATATCCGAGCTTCGTTTAGTAGTTCAGAGCTTGAGCGCCTCCCAGCAGCCAAGTCCTTCTCCAGACACTGCAGGGGAAGGTTTTTGGCGCAGCTTCCGCAGGGGGGTGAGTCTCTGGCGCAGTAGTACACGGCGGTGTCCTCGGGTCTCAGGCCAGCCGTTTGCAAGTACAGCAGGCTGCTGGAGGTGTCTCTGGAGACGGTGAAGCGACCCCGGACTGAAGCGGGGTAATACGTGCTGCCCCCTCCGCTAATTCCGGAGACCCACTCCAGCCCCTTCCCAGGAGCCTGGCGGACCCAGTCCATCCAGTGGCTGCTGAAGGCGAAGCCGGAGGCTTTGCAGGAGAGGCGGAGAGAGTCTCGGGTTTTTCACGTCCCCTCCGGACTCTTTCACTGCCCGGCCCCACAAGGCTCTGGCTTCCCAAAGGCGGAGCTGCAGGGTCTGGGGAATGGCGGGATTTAAGCAGGGAGCTAACTAACCCTATTTGCATATCCCACTTTTAATAATCGACTTGAAATCCCGAGATCGGAGCTCAGAGAGGAGAGTGACACATCCAGGGAGTCTGGCAAACGTTGAGTGTGTCCTTAATACACTGCCTGATACGTGACCAGAGACAGAGAACATTGCTCTTAACAGAGAACTTGGGAGTCATTAGCACGGTAACACGCATGTTCCTGCTGTGCTCCTTGGCCATGATTTAAAACAAAAACAAAAACAAAAACAACAACAACAACAACAAAAAACAGCTCTTTGAACTGCCTCAATTTTGAACTCGGCGGGTCGGAGAGGCTTTGGAAGGGGCTTGGTTCTCCGAGTTTGGGAGTGGCGCATTTTCTGGTGAGAAATCCCCGTGTAGGGATTCCAAGCTGGGCACCCACAATTTGAGAGATTTAAAACCACTAGGAAAATAGTGTCTATTTCAATACGAGGAAACAAACAAAAGCATATTTTATTTTAAACGATTGAATTGGAACATTCTCGGAGGAAAATTTACTAAGGGCACCTTGGTATCCAGGCTCCCTAAGAAAGGGAGCGGCACCCAGCCTGTGTGTGTAACTTTGAAGATTTCCCCGTCCATCTCTGTAGCAGACATACATGGTGAGCAATGTTTTGGTCTAACTAGGCCCCTTGTTCTAAGCCAGGGAATGGCTTGTAACGTGACCTTGACACTCTGTGTACCTGGGCTTGGCGGAGATGAATAAAGTTCAGCCTGTGACATGTTTGTGACCCTGTTCCCCTTGGAGTCTTCATCAGCAGGTTATTTATGTTGTGGCTCTCGTCACCTGAAAAATTGGGTTTCTCCCCCTGTTCTATATATCAGCTGACGTGCACTCCAGTAATGGGAGGTGAATCTGCCCCGGTTCTGAAAGTGTAGGAGGCCCTGAACATCAGAACAGGCCCACAGCTCATCTGCTTTGCAGGCTAGGTTAGAAATGGAACACAAGGTGCAGAGCAGGGGAGAATCCGAATAGTTCATCTCTAAACATCTGAGTGGGATTGCGAAATTCCTCTGAGGCAGCCCAGTGCACTTCTAAAAGGGGATCTCTAAACTTTTATTTTGTTATGAATCGGTTCTACGAGGCTGCAGAGCCAGAGAAAGCACCGCTGTACGGGAAATGCTCTAAAAACTGGTAAATTGGCTCCTGCAAAGAGGGCAGTGGGAGGACATGGGGATAGGGATAAGTTGTCTGTGGCACTGGAGTGAATGGGTACTGGAGTATCAGGCAGATGTGTTTTCTAGAGCTCCCGAGGGGTTATAATAGGCATGAGGTGTCCGTATCTCTAGGTTTCAGAGTAACAGCCGTGTTAATCTGTATTCGCAAAAAGAAAAGGAGGACTTGTGGCACCTTAGAGACTAACCAATTTATTTGAGCATAAGTGAGCTGTAGCTCAGGAAAGCTTATGCTCAAATAAATTGGTTAGTCTCTAAGGTGCCACAAGTCCTCCTTTTCTTTTTGCGTATCTCTAGGGCAGCTTGGAAACCCTCAGCCTGGCTGTTAGAGGTGGGTTTACATAACACGTTTTAATTCATACACTTTAATGTTGGTTCTATCAGCCTGGGGTATTGGGAGGTGGAGGGGGGTGAGGAAAGTTGGGGAGGAGCGGAGTGTGGGGCACAGAGCGTATTAGGGACAAGGGAAAGTTGCGGGCTGGTCTCTGCAAATAGTGCGGTTAGCCAGTGTCTGCATTTGTGTGTGTGTGAGAGAGCCACAGAGAGGCAGCTCAGGGGAGGAGTAATTAATTTCACGGCTCTCCCCGCTGCCAGCTGTAGAACTGCAGCGCCCCCAGCGGAGAGTTTGTCCTTAGCCAGCGAGGGCAGGTTTTTGTCTGAGCTCAGTCCGGCTTCCCCTCACTGTGTCTCTCGCACAGTGATACCGGGCGGTGTCCTCGGGCTTCAGGCCGGTCATCTGCAGATACAGCAGGTTGTTGGAGTTGTCTCTGGAGATGGTGAATCTCCCTTTCACTGAGTCTGCGTAAACTTGTTGGCTCCCATCAGTGTAAATGAGTGAGACCCACTCGAGCCCCTTCCCGGGAGCCTGGCGGACCCAGCTCATATGATAGCTGCTGAAGGTGAAGCCGGAGGCTTTGCAGGAGAGGCGGAGAGAGTCTCCGGGCTTTTTCACATCCCCTCCCGACTCCACCAGCTACACCTGGGACCGGACACCTGAGAATAGAAACACAATATAATTCGCGTTAATATTAAGAGCAATTAATAGACTATTCCCCTGCCACGCCAAAGGTGTGAGAGGCTGAAATTACCTTCCAAAGCTGCTGTAAGGAACCCTAAATAGAGCCAAAGCCTCATTTTCCCGGGTGCTGGAGGGGAAAGTTCTCAGGGGACTGGCTGGTGACTGCACAGGCACAGGGGGCTGCTGCGGATTGTGTCTCTGGGTGCAGCCTGGGCAGAGAGAGGCAGAGATTTAAACAGGAAACTGTCACTCTGATTTGCATGCCCCGCACCTTATAGGACACACAAACTGCTTCCCCGGGTGATCTCATTTCCTGCCCTCTGATTCCAGGGGAAGAGGGTAAATGTGTATCAATGTGTGTAGCGCTCCGACCCAAATCCCATTGAAACCCCAGGGGATTTTTAGGTGGCTTGGATCGACATCGGATCAGGTACCAAGTGTTTGTGTGGAGTCCTGCACAATGGGAACCCGGTCCTGCATGGATCCGGAGAGGGCTGTCAAAGCAGAAACAGAGGAAGACGGGAGTGAGGGATTATAGCATAAAAGAGAGAAAGCAAGAAAGGAAGCTGCAGTCCTGGTAATGACAGCCTAGCGCTTCTAGACCCCTGTCAATCATCATCATCTTCATCCTCCTCCCCCTCGTCATCTTTGGCGCATTCTCAAACTTTGCCAGCAAATATTTTATAGACTCGTTCTCGATAGTTCCTCATCTAGAACAGGGGGGCAGCAGCATTTCCCTCTCTCACAGAGGCGTTGTGAAAGCAACGACATTAAATATTGTGGGGGGCTGATACATTACCTCAGTTTGGGGCGTACTAGCACCTGCGATAAAACTGTGAGTCCTGAATCACTGCTGTTCAGTTATAGTACTATCCTGGATCATAATAAATAATTAATAGTAATTTATTCCCTTATTACTTATTAGGGAATAAATTACTTATTACTTATTATTATAATAGTAATTACTATTACTATTATAATATAGTAATAGTTTTTTTAAAAGTAATATAGTAATTACTAGTAGTTTTTTTAAAAGTAATATAGTAATTACTTATTACTTATTATCCCTTAGTACTTATTAATAGTAATTTATTCCCTTATTGTTAAGGTTGGGCCGGAGGGCCCCGTTTCGGACCCCACGAGTCGAAGCCCTGGGCCATCTCAGACAAACAGATGTTCCCTCCCGCAAAGATCTGTTTGTCGGATGTAATTTATGTTGCATCAGTCCCAGCACATGGGGAATGTGGAGATGGTGGGTATGGTGGCGTGGGCTGGGGTGGGTGGAGAAGGGGACCCCCCCCCCGGTGTGTAAGTGGCAGCGATGTGACGAAGTGGAACTGTTCTTAATGTTTCCTCTGAATAGTGTGTGGGTGCCTCAGTTTCCCCTATGCAATTCTTAAGTATCTAGGTGGTGGAGTAAGGGTGTATGATCATTGCAGAGCCCTAGAGGGCAGGTATGTGCAGGGGTCTGGACACAGACAGTGGCCGACACCCTGTTTCCTGGCAACTGATGGCCTGGGCCCTTCCCCCCTGCAAGTTGAGAGCTAAAGGGTTGGAGAACAAAGGAATCAGATGACCTCCTGGCCCGGGAAAGGGACAAAGCCCAGAGCAGGGCAGGGCTGGAGGGAGTTTCAGTTTGGGGCTGGCTGGGACATGTAGTGAAGGGCAGACGTGGTTGTCTGGCTCACTGCTCCCCAAAATGGACCCAACTGAGGGGTCCTGTTCTCTGCACCTGCAAGCTCTGTTTTAGACCATGTTCCTGTCATCTAATAAACCTCTGTTTTACTGGCTGGCTGAGAGTCACATCTGACTGCAAAGTTGGGGTGCAGGACCCTCTGGCTTCCCCAGGAGCCCCGCATGAGCAGACTCGCTGTGGGAAGCGAACAGAGGGGCAGAGGATGCTGAATGCTCCGAGGTCAGACCCAGGAAGATGTGGAAGCTGTGTGAGTTGTGTGTCCTGCAGACAGGCTGCTCACAGGAAGGAGATTTCCCCAGAGTCCTGACTGGCTTCATGGGGAGCAGTTCCAGAGCATTGCCCAGGAACTCCGTGACAGACCCCTGTCTGGTGTGTAAGTGGCAAAGGGATGGGGTGGGGAAGCCCCTCTCATGCATGCCTTCCTGTATGAGTGTGAACCTCTACATTGGGTAAATTGCCCGGAACAGGAAAGTGGAGGTGACAGGCAGGGATTGGTAGATTCCCCTGATTTCTGTCTTTTCTCCTCTGCAGATTTTGGTGCTTGATACCCGCCAGCAATGACCAGATTCTGAAAGCAACAGGGCAGGTTTTAGTCAGAGCTCAGGCCGGTTTCCCCTCACTGTGTGTCCGGCACAATGATACCGAGCGGTGTCCTCGGGTTTCAGGCCAGTCATCTGCAGATACAGCAGGTTGTTGGGGTTGTCTTTGGAGATGGTGAAGCGTCCCTTGAAGGTCTGTGCATAGTAGATGGTAGTTGAAGTTGGGTGCATTTCCCCTATGCACTCCAGTCCCTTCCCAGGGGCCTGTCTGATCCAGCTCATCCAGTAGCTGCTGAAGGTGAACCCGGAGGCTTTGCAGGAGAGGCGCAGAGAGTCTCCCGGCTTTTTCACACCCCCCTCCAGACTCCAACAGATGGACCTGGGACCGGACACCAGCAAATAAAGACACAGTGAGATCCCTGCAGACCTGGCTCCTGTCGAGATTTATACAAAACCAGGGGACTCCCCTTTGTCTTCAGGAAAACAATGTACCAGCGGAAACAGTTGCAATCAGAAGGAAATGTAGCCAGAGTGGCATGTTCCTGAGCCTTGGGGTTCTGCCTGGCACTGCACAGACAGTGGGGACAGTGGATTCTCCATCCCTGGTCGTGGGGCTGTGGTGTCTTTCAGCAACACTCTTTATTCATCATTAATTGGCAAAGGAGCCTCAGGGCTTTGGGTCTGGTGTAACTAAATGATTTGGGGACCTAAATTCTAATAATTTTCTCTGGGATTTAGGCTGCTAAATTTAAGTCACTTCTGAAAGTTGGACTTAGGCTCCCAGTTCACTTAAACTGTTCCCCATTTGTACAATCATAGGACTGGAAGGGAGCTCGAGAGGTCATCTAGTCCAGTCCCCTGCTCTAATGGCAGGACCAGCGCCATCTAGACCATCCCTGACAGGTGTTTGTTTAATCTGCTCTTAAAAATCTCCAGTGATGGAGATTCCACAGCCTCCCTAGGCAACCTCCCTGATAAGACATCTGAGGCTCGTTGTGGGAGCAGAGTGTGTTAGGAGGAGGTGAAAGGAGGAGGAAGAGAAGCTCCCTATCAAAGAAATACTGTCTCTTTGTGAGGAGTTAAATCTGATCACTGGGATTCAATATTAAATTAACGGAAAGGAATTAGATGAAATAAAATCAATGAGTTCCTAGAATTGTCTCTTTTCTCCCAGTTAAGCGTATTGTAGGTTAAGTAGACTTTGAGGAGCGAAGGGTTTATTCTGAGCTCAGACAGTGCTTAAACCATGATTCTAGGACTTCAGTAACTCAGCCAGAGGTCAGGGGTCTATCACAGAATGGATGGGTGAGGTTCTGTGACTAGACTAGATGATCAGGATGGTCCCTGTTGGCCCTAACATCAATGAGCCTATGAGTCTTCCCTCGCTGTGGCCTGCAGGGTGACTTTGGGCAAGTCCTGTCACTTCCCTATCTTGTGCCTCAGTTTCCCCATCTATAACAAGAAGGAGGACAATTCTTCCCTCTCCTTGTAAAGAGATTTGAGGTCTACTGTTGAAAAGTTATTACTCTAAGAATACCAACGTTTGCAATGTGTGCCATTTGTCACTTAACAGTGAGTGAGTATTCACTGAGGATAGGGCTTTCATAGACTTTAAAGTCAGAATGGAAGATCATGAAAATCTATTCTAAACTTCCGCATATTGCAGACCACAGAACCTTGCCCACCCACTCCTGTAAAAGACCCCTCATCTCTGGCTGAGTTACTGAAGTCCTCGAATCATGGCTTAAAGACTTCAAGTTAGAGAGACTCCACCATTTACACGAGTTTAAATCTGGACCCGTGCCCCATGCTGCAGAGCAAGGCAAAAACAAAAAACAAAACAAACAAACAAACAAAGCAAAACAAACAAACAAACAAAGCCAAACAAACAAACAGAGTCTCTGCCAATCTGACCAGGGGAAAAATTCCTTCCTGACCCCAAATATGGTGATCAGTTAAGCCCTGAGCATGTGGGCAAGACCCACCAGGCAGACACCTGGGAAAGAATTCTCTGTAGTAACTCAGAGCCCTCCCCATCTCGTGTCCGATCACCAGCCCTTGCAGATAGCTGCTTCTAGCAGTCACAGGTTGAATACATGGCATTGTAGGCAAACTCACCATATTATCCCCTCCACAAAATTATCAAGCTCAGTCTTGAAGCCAGTTAGGTTTTTTGCCCCCACTTCTCCCCTTGGAAGGCTGTTGCAGAACTTCTCTCCTCTGATGGTTAGAAACCTTCCCCAAATGTAAAGCCTAAACTTGGCAATGGCCAGTGTAAATCCATTTGTTCTTGCTGGTAACATGTAACATGCGTTGTTGTTGGGTTTTGTTTGTTTGTTTGTTTGTTTTTTAAAGCTTCCTCATCTTCTGGCATCCTGAAAAATTAGCCCCTTCCATTTCAATGGTCTGGTTCCCAAAGACATGTTGAGAGAACATTGATCTATGTACACTATCAGGTGTCTGCATTCCATAGACCATCTCTTTGTTGTTGGTGAATAGCAACACTGCCTCCTAAACGCAAGGCACCCTTGGGACGTGCTTTCATAGCTCCTTAGAACTCTTTGGTCTAGTCCCCTTTGAAACCGGAGTAGCTGAGAGAGCTCTGACAAGCTCCTAATCCCAGTCATGAGGATACACCCCAACAGTTAGACGGCAGCAGGCTAGTGCAGGGGTGGATTCATTGTTGTGGTAGACAAGCGAGTTAAACTGGTCTCCCTGGGCTGCTCAGAATCCGCTTCCCCTGCTTTGCTCCGTGTTACTGTGTGTCTCTGGAGCAGTACTAGCTGGCGGTGTCCGCAGCTGCCAGCGAGCGGAGCTGCAGGGAGACCTGGTTCTTGGAAGGTTGATGCTGATGCGACTCTGGAGGGAAGCAGCATAGTTTGTGCCTCCCTCTTGCGCTATACGCCTCATCCATTCCAGCCCTTTCCCGGGACTCTGCCGGATCCAGAGCCACC